ACTGACAGAATCCATGGATGGCAGGCTTTTGAGTGTCCTTGCAAAGAAAGGTGGCTATATTGGTCACTGATTTGTTTTGTTTTGTTTTTGAATGTCAGAAATGTATATTTGTGAATGTTGAGATGTTATATTGGTTTCACTGGTAATAATAAATAATTGAAATGGATATATATTTGTTTTTTGTTAAGTTGCCTAATAATTATGCACAGTAATAGTCACCTGCACACACAGATATCCCCCTAACATAGCTATAACTAAAAACAAATGTATTTTGCAAAAGTAAAAAAACATGTATTTTTTTCAATTTGTCACCATATTATATTATTTTTTAAAAATTAAATTACATGAGATTATATAAATAATGGTATGTAAAGAAAGCCCGTTTTGTCCTGAAAAAAACAATATACAATTTCTATGTGAACAGTAAATGAGAGAGCGGAAAACCACAAAAGTGTAAAAAGAGGCCTGGTCGTTAACGTACAACATCACAAAAACAGTCCAGTCCTGAAGTGGTTAAATGTTACTAAAACATTTTTTTTTTTACTTTTTAAAGCATATTTTAAAACTTTTTTTAAATGTTAACCCCTAGTTAGCTTAACACCAAATCCCCTAATTCCCCACTAACTTCCACCCATCCCAGCTAGCTAAATATATAATTGTAAAATATTTAAATTAATTAATAAAATAAATGTAACCCCCGAGGGTTAAAAAAAAAAATAACCCTCAGGGGTTAAAAAAAAATAAAACTCAGATGACAGTAAAATGCAATCCCTGCCAATTTATCACTGTAGTCAGTGATCAATTGGCAGGAAAGGGGTTAATTTTATTAAAGCAGAGGAGAGGGGGGTGGGATTTAACTTTTACTTTATTTTTTTTTTTTACAGGGAGAAGATCAGCAGCAGTATTCTGTCTCCCTGCACTTCACACTGGACACGCAAGAGCAGGGAGGCGGATCGTGAGTCCCTGCAGCACATGTGCTCGCTCTGACAGCCTGTTCCCGTTCTGCCTCGGATGCAGAGGCAGACCGGGCGAGCATTAACCCCACGATCGCGGCAATCTGGGGTTAACTTTCGTAAATGACGGAAATTTTCCGTCAACGGTCCTTAACGCAAGGACAAGGTTGACGGAAAATTTCCATCTTTGGTCGTGAAGGGGTTAAAGTGCAGAGGCTGTTTGTCCCATGTTTTGTTGAGTGAATAATTCAAATGGATTTGTCACATATGAACACAATCCAGGCAAAATATATTTATGGCAGGTAGCCTTTTGACAGATTTCAGGGCGTGGACCAATAATATTTCTGTTTTTTTTCTTTCAAGATATATAAAAAGGTTGGTAAGATGTGTTAGTTGATTTAAATGCATGCATTTCTATTATGTGCCTTTTTCAAAAGCTGTGTTGAACATGGCAAGAATAACAGGACCTCCAATACTGAAAAATTTATATTTGGCTCCCCAGCTGCAGTGTGTGTGTATGTGTGTGTGTGTGTGTGTGTGTGTTACCTATTTTAGCTATTTTTTTTTACTTTCCTGATATTTAACAAATAAATATTTGTGATGTGTGAAAAATACAATTAACCCCTTAAGGACACATGACATGTGTGACATGTCATGATTCCCTTTTATTCCAGAAGTTTGGTCCTTAAGGGGTTAAATGTACACCTCTTTATCCTGCAAGTGGGTGCCATCTTCCTGTCTATAATTGTTATAAGCTCTGTTCTTTGCACTTGCACAGTCACTAAACTGGATTGTAATTTGCTAAATCTTTAATACAAATAGAGATGGAGACCTTCAACCACGTATTTTGGTATTTTTTCTGAAGCTGGGTTCCTACTTTTTCAAATCCAGAACTTAATAATTAAACTGTCCGGGCACACTATCCCACTAAATGCAAATTATATATTCTTAACATGTTGCCAGATTTTATTCAGAGACATAATTAAGCATGTTCTGGTACCAGTTGGATGTTGCATAGTGGGGGCATTGAAATCCCATCTAGAGCAGCAGTTTTGGAGAGGTTGGCTACCAATAAGCTTTATATAGAGATAACACATAGATTGGTGGAGACATTGCAGAGGTTTAACAAGGTCTGGTCCAGATAGCATAAACTCCTGTAGTGTACTTTTTTCCTAATTGTCCGTGGAATGCGTATGCATGATTGTATTTATTGTACTTTCTCATATGTAAATTACTTGTATTGTTGAAAAGACTTCAATAAAAGTTTAAGGCACGAGAATAAAAAAACAGAGCATCACTCAAATGATTTATTCAGTGGTGTGATTTCCAGAGAGGTGACAGATTCCTTTAACCCCTTAAGGACACATGACATGTGTGACATGTCATGATTCCCTTTTATTCCAGAAGTTTGGTCCTTAAGGGGTTAATACAAGTGCATCTGTAATGGGCATTGGTTGCTGCTCCTAATAAATTAGGAATATTTCTGGTACTGCATATGGATTAGGAAGCATTTGTTGTCGTTGTTGTTGTTTTTTAATCACTGTTGTCAATCTAGAATGCTGAATTAGCTTTCTTCAAGAGTATAATTCTCACATACCTCCAATATTCTACAGTATACTTAAGCTCTATTTTTTTACCATAACTGATGCTCAATAATGAACATTAAAATCCAGGTTTTGAAATAGCTCCCTTCACTAGAAATTGTCACTCATGTTCACTTATTTGTCAGCATTCCTAATGACCACTATTGAGTGATAATGTAGGAAAGTAACAAGTGTAGAGAAAACACATTGTAACTTGACCCTTTAAACTCTCTTGTAATCTCAGCTTTGATCAGAAAATTCCCTAATGAACTTGATCAGCATCCTTAAAACATCTTTCCTGGCACGCAATCTTTCTCCACCAGGAATTGAAGGCAGTGATCTGTCAGACACCCGGAGCAGTACAGTTATTCTTTCAAATTATGCTTGCACTAGATTTGCCCTCCACTGACCCTTCTCACTGTCCTTTCCAGTCCCATAACTTTCTCCATTTCCTGATCTTCAAGAATGGACGTGAAATCTATAAAAAAAATTCTGCCAACTGAAAAAAAATATCTATAAAGCCAAAAAAAGAAAGAAAACATTTCTTTTCAGGTACTTACAAAACTTTTACTCTTTGGTTGAGCAGATTCTGAAAAAAACATATAGCAATGATTTCAAATTAGTCTTATACGTTCAATTTTAAAGCCCCACTAAGAACGGTTCAATTTTTTAGTTGGTCCCTATAGGCCATCTGATAAAATGTATTAAGCCACAGCACAGAAAATATTATTATTATTTTTTTTTTTTTAGATATATTCACTAGATGTCTATAGGATTTTTGCTTGATTGAAAGGGAATAACTTAATTGAGAGTTACACTATTGAATAAAATACTAAAATATATCTATAAGTTGTGTTAAGATTTTTCGTTCGTTATACATCATTTTTATTTTCGATATATACTAAACAGTTGCAATTGACATTGCAGTCCAGTTCACTCATGATACAAATAGGGCACTCATTGCATCAGAGGGGGATAAAATAGAATCATTTTTGTTCTCATCCTCTCTCTATGATGGCTACTGAGTGCAAATACTGCTTATTGAATAAATAGAAGTGCTTATAACAGTGCTTGACAAGGAGAAGAGTCAGAATCACAAAATCACAAAGAGGTAAAAATTTCTATGTTTAATATTTTTCAGATCTCACAAACATGTTATCTATAGAGGATAAGTAACAGGGAATTTTATGGCAAGACAGGAGGCTTCATATTTGCTTTATCTTTCTTTACTGAACCTCCCAGCAGCAAAGAAATAGTTAACAATAGTGTAAAACACTTTGCTACTTCTTTGCTGCTTGCCTCCCAGGTGAGACTATTCCAATTATATTGCTATATGGTTTTGCCTTTAATGCAATATTTGAATAAATCTCCTTATTAAATTGTAGTTTTCTAGCACCATACATTCATCTATCATTTTAAATAAACTTTTTCTCTGATAAACCCAGCATTCATGCTCATCTAATTTTCTCAACACATTTACTTCATCAAAGTACTCTTGTTACACACATTGTACCACAACATGTATGTTACACTTGTGTTTTCTGGATAATTTAAGTTTTTATTTAGTTGGTTTTCCTTTAAATCGCCAGAGTTTTGCTTCCGCGATTCTTTTATACTAGTTTGTTTCCCGTGTTTATATAGTGGCTGCGTTTTTTTCCCACGATTCTAGGGAGACCGCGGCTCACCTTTCAGCTTTCCTGTCTGTGCCGCGGACTCCAGTTCCTAGGAGTCCGTGGCTCAGTTTTTTCATGCCCTTTCGGGCTCCCCGCCCTCCCGCATCTGCACTTACCAGACACACTTCCTCCCACCCTTTTGCTGGCGGCAGCCATTTTAAATCGCGGTTTATTTTGATATCGGTGCGATCGCCCCTTCTAACGTCGGATCCGGTAAGTACCTTACTTCTTTGTTGCTCATAGCACCCTTAAAGTGCTAACACCCTGTTTTCAGTTACTCATTTTGCCTATCTGTTTTTCCTGACAGGCTTTATATCGAAATACCTGCTGTATTTTGTTTTATTATTAAATAAAGGAAGGCCTTGTGGGTGACCCCCACCTTTTTTCTCTGTGACTATTGTTCAATGAGTGTTTGTTGTGGGTGACCCCCACCTTTTATTCACTCCTAATAATCAGTCTATAACAGGTGTCTTAACACCATTATTACAGTCCTGCAAATAAAGAAACCCAAAGTGATCCCACACTTTATTTATATTATAAGACATAACCACCTGTCTAATTAAATGGAGTGGTGAACCCCACTTTCTGTTATTATAGTGGTACAACCCACTTGTGTATTTTTAGTGGTCAATCCAACTGAATATTGTGTGCCGCCCTTTACGTATTAAACTACGCAAAATAATTTGGGTGACCCCCATTTATAAATTTTACTTAACACAGTTGGGTGAACCCCATTCAATATCCGTTTTCTTAACACTTGACTATTTGTCAGACCAATATAAAGACCTACCATGTCTGATAATACTGAGCCCGCAATCTCCCAAGAACTTAGAGCTTGGTTGGTCTCAACCATTGCCGAATCCATCCCCAAGGCGTTAGCAGCCTTCCATGAGAAGAGTTCTGCCGAAGTCAATCCTACCGCACGTTTGCTTTCTGACTCCGAGGACTCTCAGCCCTCTGATCAGGAGGACACACGTAAGCGCCCTTGGAAAGGGGATAGTAGGTCTGCGGGCAAGGGTAAGGCTCCTGCCAAGTCCCTAAAATTGACTTTCACTCGCCCCGCCCACGTTATCTCCGATCCCTTTGAGGGTTCTACATCCCACACGGGCGACGGGGTAGAAGATTCTGATGAGGACCCCTCGGAGAATGCGCTAGGGGATACCCCATTGGATTTTGTCAAGGAGACATTCATATACAAAAGTACCTATGCAGAAGGGACCTGACTCAGACATCCTTCTGGATGCTTCAGGTGTCCCTTTTTTTCGACCCCAGGGTCATTAGGCATCCACGGTCGGCCGAATGGGCCCCACCGGATCATATTTCTAGCTTCTACAAGATGTGGTTACGTAAGCCACATGAAGAAGAAATCAGGTCGAAACTCAGAGCTGAGTGCCCTCGACCAACCATTCCAAACAAGGTGGCTCTCAGAGTTTGACCCACTATTTGTGACCTTCCTCACTAAGACGGAGAAAGATCCCCGCAAGGGCATTGAGCAGGGTATTAAGACAGCCCAGGATAAACTCCTGGACATCGCTGGCCCAATCATTCAAATTTTCATACTAGCTGACAAAGCCATAACTAGTGCGGAGTTTGACCCAAACACAGTCAGAGAATGGGCCTAGAGAGCCTTATGTTTCCTGGGTAACGCAAATGTGGCTATATCCACTGAGAGACGCAGGGCGGCACTATACAAGCTGGATGCTAAATTAGCCGATCTTAGCTCCCGAGAATTGGGACCAGAGGCCAATGGATTGCTGTTTGGACACTTGTTTATGAAGGATCTCTCCAAACATGTAGTGGCATTCACTACCCTAAATAAGGCCCAATCCTCCTTGCGCAGGGTTTTTTGTTCCCAGTCAGGTCGTTTTTCTGGGAGAGCTGGACGTTATAGAGGCCGAACGAACAGCAGAGTTGCCTTCACAGGCTACAGGCCTCGCCCTTCAGAGAAGTATTGGCACTCGGGACAACCCCGACCCTACCACAGGCAGTTATTCACCAAAAGAGGATCTATCCAGGGACGTGGATCTACCTCCTTATGTGGATAAACTGCTCCAATCCCCGTTCCCACATACCTTTTTCAGCAACATTTTCCTGGTCCACAAAAAAACTGGAGACCTATGTCCAATTAGCAATTTGAAAGACCTGAATCACTTTGTCAGGTATTGTCATTTCAAGATGGAGGGCATCCATCTGCTCAGGGACCTCCTTTGCATGGGAGATTGGTTCTCCAGATTCAATCTCAAAGACGCATATCTCACAGTCCCTGTTGCTCGCAACCATCAAGCCTTTCTTCAATTTCTCTGGCAAGAGGAAATCTGGCAGTTCACATGGCTCCCATTCGGTCTTTGCTCCTCACCATGGTGTTTCACAAAACTGATGAAACCAGTGATGGCATTACTCCGATCACAGGGGATTCCGTCCATTATATATTTGGACGACATCCTGATAATGGCTCAAGACTCAGACCTTTTACGCCAACACACGGACATGACGACGGCCTTGCTACAAAACCTAGGTTTTGTAATCAATTTACAAAACCTAGGTTTTGTAGCAAGGCAGTCATCATGTCCGTGTGTTCTCAGAAGGTTCCGTTTCTTGGGTTTCTGATAGATTGCCTACAGGCGATTTTGCAACTACTCTCTGCAAAAGTCACAACTATAAAAAAAAAGACATTGGCAAATTGCTATCAGCCCACCAGATTCGCCTACGAGATCTGGCCCATACCATAGTCCTACTGTCCGCCTCTATCCAAGCCATTTACCCGGGACCTTTACATTACCGAGCCATGCAACGGCTCAAGACAAACTACCTACACCGTTCCACCTCCTACGATCAGTAAAACCATCTAACAGACGAAGTTCGGATAGAACTTCACTGGTGGCTTCACAACATGGAAGCCTGGAATGGCAAAGCCATTTTCAGATCGCAACCAGACTTCATTCTGGAATCCGATGCCAGTTACCTGGGATGGGGCACCACGCGCGCCGAAAGGTCCACTGGGGGACTATGGTCCACCTCCGAACAAGCACTGCACATCAATTGCCTAGAATTGATTGCAGGATCTTTTGCGATTCGCAGTTTCACAAAAGATTGTTTCAATTGTTCACTAGTACTGCGCATGGACAACGTCTCTGCAGTGCGTTATGTGAATCGGTTAGGAAGTTCCCGATCCAAACTACTGTCTGACCTTACCAAGGAACTCTATCAATTCTGCCTAGAGCAGAATTTATCCATCAGAGCAGAATATCTTCCGGGCATGGACAACCTAGTCGCAGATTGGTTTTCTCGCCATTGGAGGGATGTAAGCGATTGGCAATTGGATCCCCGCTTGTTCTATCAAATTAATTGTCTTTGCGGGCCCCTCACACTGGACCTGTTTGCATCTCGGCTGAATCGCCAGACGGAGGCCTTTATCAGCTGGCTTCCAGATCCCCAGTCCTGGGCAGTCGATGCCTTTCTACAACCTTGGCCGGAGACAGGAGCTTATGCGTTCCCGCTTTTCTCCATGATCCAGCGAACCCTTTACCGGGTCAAAGCCCTAGTAGTGACGATAGTTATTGTCACTCCGCTATGGAGAGCCCAGACTTGGTTTCCAATTCTACTACCTCGATCCCACGACATCCTCAGGAATCCAGCAGGGCACTGTCACCCACTCGCCATTGAAGGGCGGGTCCAGCTTGTGGTTTGGACCGTTTCCTTTTCAGCACCTCTGATGATAATTCTAAATTTTCTGTCTACCCACTTTGATCAAGGCAAGTCCTATAGATCAATTAATGTTTTTAGATCAGCTATTTCCGCGGCCCACAACCCTATTGACAATGCATCAATAGGAAAACACCCTTCGGTTTGTATACTTTTACGAGGGATCAGGCTAGCCAAACCCCCTCTTCCTAAATATTCTTATTTCTGGGATGTCACTCAGGTTTTCTCCCTTTTAGAATCCTGGCCCTCTAATGAGAATTTGACGTTACGTCAACTCTCTGCCAAACTGGCCTTACTCCTATGTCTGGTATCCTTCCGTAGGGTCTCCGACATTCGAGCATTTGATTTACACGCTGTAGTTTTCTCTTGCCGGAAGGCATTCAATTTTACATCACTAGGTGAACAAATAATAATTCCTCTGCTGTATTCTACCCTTATGTTCCGAATAGACAGTCACTATGTGTGGTGCTCTGCGTAAGGCACCATATAGCTGCCACAACCACTCTGCGTCCCCCTACAGGATCCCTTCTTGTGTCCTATGTCAAACCAAACAAACCGGGGTCCGCTCCCACCGTCGCGCGGTGGATCAGATGGATACTAGCCCAAGCAGAAATTGACTCCTCTTTTGCTCTTTTGGTACGCATTCAGTCAGAGGAGCAACCGCATCCTCAGCCTTTCGTGCGGGTAGCTCCCTCTCAGACATTTTGTCGTCTGCGGATTGGTCCAGGGAGTCTACCTTTCGTACATTCTACTTCAAACCTATGTCACATGCTGCATCTTCTATCATATAGGAGCGTTAAAACAGCAAATATGAAGCCTCCTGTCTTGCCATAAAATTAGGGATTATTCTAGCCCTAGCGAATAACTTCCCTCCCTTCTTTGTTTTCATTATCATTTCTACCCGCCCTAAGGTAGGTTACTATATATTTTTCTCCTAGTCGATCTGTTTCAGACACATTCACACATCATCTGTCATAGGTTTACACCACAACACTCTAACCAGGAGTTTGATATACTTAACATCATTTTACATGAAATGTATTGAAATTGTTGTGCCTAGTATGCATGCCATAAACTTGCATTCAACTAGTATGAGAACCTAAACTCTCATGGTTTTTCTCTATTTCCCTTTAGTGTGAAGAACCCCAATGCTTGTGATATATGGATCCATCAATCCCGTTGAGCGTTTACATGGTTGACTACATCAGGACCTCAAATTAGTACACAGTTCATAGTTATGGTTTACATGGTTGATACTCGGATATCGTCAGCTACAGCAAGAAAGAGGATTTGGGGGGAGCTTGATGACATCATCTAATACTGTTATACACTCTGATTGGTTGAATTGTTTTACATTGTTAACTAATTCTTTGCTGCTGGGAGGTTCAGTAAAGAAAGATAAGCAAATATTCGCCTCCTGTCGTTAATGAAATTTAGATTATTCAGTAACTAGGGCTAGAATAATCCCTAATTGTCGCTTCCTCTGATGTGATGTCAGAATTAGATCTAATAAATACACTATGGCTAATCCAACTCTTGACGTCAGAACGTGATTTGCAGATCACAAGCCAATTCTGAATGTTGTCGCAAAATGACCACTGGAATACAAGTCTTACTTTTGGATAACCTTATCCCCATTTGCCGAAGTCAGATTACATTTTCATCCATCTTTTGTGATTTCTTCTTCCTTTAAATTCATAAAATATGCCTTAAAATGGCCAGAAACATGTCACTCAGAAATGGCCGAGGCTGATAGAGAAATTAATGAATAAATGGATAAACCCTATTGCTTTCAGTACCGTTGGAATATCAAGATGTCGTCAAAGTTGGCTTCTAAGATGTCTACATAAAGGTTTAAAAATTGTGGAATCTTTGACAAGAGATCGCAATCCTTAGAGTTATTTTTCTACAGGCACCTGGCATGTAAATCCAGCCCTGTGAGGTAGGCAAAGTGCTGTTGTAAAATGGAAACAAACAAAAAAATGTCAATAAAAAAAGATCATGAAAGTAACAAAACTGGATAGACTCTAAACAAAATGTCCCTGACAATTAATACCTAATTTACCAAAAAGATTCAGCAAATAACCCTTATTTCCTCAGCTAAGTGTGAAGTGGGGTAAAGGTAATGAAAACAGAGATAAATAACTGATGACTGGCCCCTACCCCTTTCTCTACAATTCCCTTTTGTGGTGGTGGATGATAGTAAGTAGAAACTTACTACCTGCACTAGTTACCAAACGCTGTAGAACAAAAATATAAACAATTTGAGCACTCCGTGTTGCCTAAAGACTAGAGAATGATTAAACCATTGCTGGTAGGGATGTGCATGGGCAAAAAATTCAGTTTGGTTCAGAAATTCGGTTTAGTAAAAAAATGTGTCTGCTTCGGCAATTCGGACCAATGGCATTCAGTTTGGTCTGGCACTTTGGAACTGCCGAACGTCGTCAGAAATACAAACATTCATAAGCATCTGAATGTCCGAATGGCATGAAATTCGTACAAATGTACATTCGTAAAGAAA